TGCTATATTGAATTAGGTCCTAGCAAGAAGTAAGGATGAGGTTTGTTCTTCTTGATCATTCATTGCCATAACCATGTTTGCTGGTGACCGTTTTTGGCCCTTCTCTTACTGGTATTCCATCACTTCACTGCCCTGACCTCAGTTTAGTCTTGTGTCTTCTCTTCCCTATTTCCCTAACTCTTCACTTTCCCGTTGGTTCTTTGTTTCTCCATTCCTCCACTACTTATATGACTATCACACAAAAGACTATCACTGCTATAATTCTGACTTTTAGTTCCTCCTTGGTATTGCTTACCAGCATGGTTCTTTTTTAACATTGTTCTCAGTTTGGCTTTGCTGCCCCAGCCCTTCTCAATGAGAGAGTGTCGTAGGCCTTTCAGGCTAACGTTGCTAAATATGTTGATTGATTTTGCTTAACTATATTCATTTGTGATAGAGATACCAAAAAAATAGCATCAATAAGACATTAAAAATATATCAAAGAAACAAAAGGAAGTTTAAAAGGAGTTTCAAACAGGGTGATTTTATTAATACTTTGTTAAATTTAGGATACACTAAAAATTCTTTATATAAAAAAGTTCACGGTTTCATATACACTCCTCATGTTTTGTGGAATATAGAAATGCTTGTGGGTTTTAAAAAAATAATTAGATTGACATTAAAATGGGAAATTCTAAAAAAAAAAAACCCAACAAAAAACCCAAACTACTTCTTCTCTTATCCATAGATTTGAAAGGCAACTTCTTCTTTGTTCCTCTAATTTGTATACAAACTTAGACTCTTTATGTCTAAGTCATGTGTTTATTTGGAGCATATCTTAGTGCATATTGCAAGATATTGGTCTATATCTAGTTTCTGACATATTGCCATCCACTTTTCCCAGCATTTTTGTCAAATAGTGAATCCTTACTCCAGTAGTTGGGGTCTTTGGGTTGATTAAATACTAGCTACTAGGTTGATTTGTTTTCTATATGTTGTGTACCTAATTTGTTCCACTATTTATTTTTTAATCAGCAAAACTTTGCTGTTTTGTAGTATAATTTAAGGTTTAGTATTTCAATGTCTCCTTCCTTTCTACTTTTTTCCCCCATTATTTCCCTGGATTTGAAATCTGGTCTTCCTGCCTCCAGACCCAGTGCTCTCTCTCCTGAGCCACTGGCTGTCTCCAATGTACATACTCCGCAGTGTATATATACAGTGTATATATGTTATTGTAGTTTGGGCATTTCAGCCGTGTCTGACTCATATCACAAAAGATAAATATTTCCAGCACTTAGTGTATGTATGTATGTGTCACACACGCACAGAGAATAGATAGAAGGTAACCATCGAGGGGAAGGCACTAGCAGCTAGGTGGACTCAGAAAGGCCTTCTGTAGAAGATGCTGTTTGAGCTGAGTCTTGAAGGAAGCCAAGGATTCTAAGAGACATAAATGAGAAAGAAGAGCACCAGACATGGATGACAGCCAGTACAAAGTCATGGAGACGGAAGGTGGAACCTTGTATGTAAGGAACAGTAAGTAAGCCAGTATGGCTGAACTATACACACACACACACACACACACATACACACACACACACACACACACACAACAAATACACACATATACATACATGCATACATACATACACACACACATATATGTAAGAGACTTGGAGACTTAGTAGGTGCTTAATAAATTCTTATTCCCTTGCTCTAGGGGGTGATAAATTTAGACATGTACTTTGGGAAAATCACCCGGATAGCTGCATTGTGGATGAATTGGTATGAGGGGAGACTTGAGGCAGGATGATCAATTAGGAGGCTATTGCAGCAGTCCAAATGAGAGGCGGATTATTCCTATGTCTCTTATTTGACGCTCTTTTCTTCCCCATGATCCGTATTCAGTTCTTTGTTGTTAAGTGATTCTAGTATAAAGGCCAGAACCCTGGCTCTGGAAACAGAAGAGCTGGGTTCAAATGCTGCCTTTTAACCCTTACTATATGATCTTGAACAAGTTACTTCATCTTTATGGCCTCAGTTTCCCCATGTGTAAAGATGGCTTCTAAGGTCCCTTTCATCTCCAGACTGATGATCCTATCAATTTCCTATGAGCGTATGTTTTTTTCTTTCAGAGCACTGAAACAGTTTTCCTGAGCAATCTTTGACAGTTTAGGGTGATTCATTTGTGTTAACTCTCAGATTCAGCCTCACTTTTCAGATTTGCTTCCAACTCAAAGGCAAAGCATTGTGAATATTGACATTTAAAAATGAATGCATGAGAATTTTTTGCATAATGTAGACAAATTCTTGTCTCTGAGTCCTTTTGAAAAATACAGAAAATGGTCTATGTCCTTGGCAAACATTTAAGGTCACTGTGATCATAAACACTTCATGGTGGCTGATTGTTAGGCTGCCCCTTGATCTTGCTTTGAGATCCTTCCTTCCTGCAGAAACCCATTAGAACTTACCCATGAGATTACCAAAACCATCCAATTCACATGTAAAAGCTAAGTGATATCTAAAGGTTTGAATTTTAAAAGAAGACAAATTTCTCCACTAAGTGCATCCCTGGACTAAGATTATCAGCATAGGTGTAAACTACTTCCTCATAGTGATCTATTGTCCACCAAGGGTGTTATGAACTTCTAGGCCTTCTTGGCTATACAGACTGCTCTATTTTTCTAAATCTCATCATTTCCCCAAAGCCCACCTGAGCCCATGCTCCTCCAGGAAGCCCTCTTTAACCACCTCAGTCCATAGTCTCTTCCTTCTGAATTTCTTTAGCATTTAATGTGGGCATCTTAATTTGGCACATTTCATATGCTACCTGGTATTATTATAATTTACTTTTTAGAATATATTTATTGAATCCTTAATTAGATAGTAATCTCTCTGCGGAAAAGGACCATGCTTTATACAGCAGTTAGTAGGAGAACTCTAGACAAGGCAGCAGCAGACCTAGGTTCTGACCTTGGCTCTGTCACTATCAGGCTAGCTTGTGACCTCTGAAATATCAGTTCATCTCTCTAGGCCTCAGTTTTCTCATCTGTAAAATGAGGAGGTTGGATTAGATGATCTCCTTTGCAGCTTTGAAATTCTGACTCCATTATTGTATTTTTTTGGTATCCTCCACAGTACTTAGCAAGTGCCTTTCAATGAACATTACTTGATTGACTGATGGCCTTTGCAGATATGTCATGGTCCAGGGGAGGCCAGTGTATTTATTAAAGGATTCTGAGAGGGATAAAGTGGCTCTTCCTCCATTCTCCCCCAGGAGCAAGTGACTCTCTACTTAACTGGTGGTATTGCAGCAGTTTGAGGAAGAATGTCATTGTCAGCAGTATGGTGTAGTGAAAAGAACACTGGATAGGGGGTCAGAAGACCTCTATTCTAATCTACCTGTTGACCATGGGCAAGTCACTAACTTCTTTGAGCTTCAGTTTCATCCTGTATAAAATGAGGTCTTGCATTAGATGTTTCAGGTACCTTCACCTCTAAATCCTATGATACTTGGGTACCCAAAATGAAAACTTTTTTCCCAGCAACCTGATGTTTCTATGTATTAATGCAGGATATTCTCAATGGGCATTTTAGGAGCAAATAGGCAGGCTTTCACAGGTAAAATTCCATAGCCATTCACATCTTTATTTTCAAACAACTGATTAAAAGATGTAAAGAATTTAAGACATGATGAATGTGACTACTGAGAGGGAGAACTATACATGTTCTCTAATCCTCTTCTAGTCTCTAGTAACTCTCAAAAAACTCCCCCCAAACAAAAGAGGGAATTATGTACCATGGATAGAGCACTTCAGATATTTCCGTAAGATTAAAAGGCAAGGTGTTCAATAATCAATAGCCTTGTGAATTAATGATGAAGAACGCCAAACCTTACGTTTCTCACTTGGCACTCCTCCCTTCTCAGCCTCCATGTTCCCAGTAAGGTCTACAAATAGACCCACAGGCTTGTGCTTTGTGACCCACTCAGGGATTTCCCAGTTTCTGCCAGCATATCCTGCCCATGTCCTTTCCCTAGTATTCTGTTGCAACAAGTTGCGATTCTTTATAGACATGAAAGGTAAAGAAGATATGGTAAGCGGGGAAAAATGAGTTTCTTCTGCTTTGGGGCAGTACCTAGGTTGGAAAACCCCAAGGCTACAGAAATTCTGCCTGAAACATATACTTCACCCTTCTCCCACCAATGAAAAGTGTCAGATTTTAATTCAGCCTGGTTGGAAAACTAAAGATTGGAGGGAATTAGGTCAGAGGTTTATAATATACAATAATACCAGGCCTGAAGGAAGAATGGAATGCAGCTGGGGCCAGTTCTCTCCTCCAAGAAGTTATTTGGGGCAGGGACCAAGGCTGAGAAGAAGCAAATATTTAACGCAGAAAGAAGTTGAGACAGCTTTGAGAAACAACCTTGAGAGTAAACTCTCCACCAGAGGGGGAGGAGGCAGAGAGTGAGAAACTAGAGAATATAAGGGCAAAAAAGGCTAACGCCACCAAGATCTCAAGAGGAAGAAAATTCAACTAAAAACCTAGAACATAAGAAGGTAAATCCACAGCGATGATACTAAAATTAGAAGAGAAGATGACTACTAAACCATTCAGGAGATTACAATAAATATTGTAAGATAAAAGAAATTGACCCAACATCTGATGAAACGTAGAACCCTATGGATTCCCAAGAGAGCATGGGACAACAGTTCAAGAAAGAGATCAGAATTTCAAGAGAAGTTAGAAAGGAATAATGTCAGGGTTCATAACTTGTGCAGCAGAACTAATTAGAAAAGTTAGAAAAACTTGATCCACAGTAGCTAGTCTTTCTAAAGAAGCAAAAGTCAGAATAACAGATTGTCCAGCACCTCAGTTTTTTTGGGGGGGAGGCGTCAGGCAATGGGGTTAAGTGGCTTGCCCAGGATCACACAGCTAGTAAGTGTTATGTTGTCTGAGGCCAGATTTGAACTCAGATACTCCCGACTCCAGGGCCAGTGCTCTATCCACTGTGCCACCTACCTGCCCCAACCTCAGTGTTTTTGTATTCCCAATCTGAAAGATGAAAAGAAAAAAGTACTAAACTTAAAACAGCAACAACAATTACGCATGATGTCTATATAAACAAAATATATTGATCTCAAAGACAGGATAGAGACAAATTAAGAATCATAGAACTCATTAAAGAACATGTCAAGTCAAAAAACCTGTACTCCACAATGCAAGAAATAATATTAAAAACAATCCAGGACTTCTGAGAAAACAAAATCCCACTTTTCTTTTTTTGTCAATTATCAATGTTTGATTTGGTACATATCTCTTCCAATAAGATATTCTGTCCACTTTAATGAATCCTCAGTTAGACATCAAAATCATTCAAGATTCCTTGAAAGCTATGATAATAGATGTGACACTGTTTGATGACCGTACAAAAGTGAATGTCAAGCAAGGCATAAGGCAAGGAGATAGATGTATGCTCACCACAGGTGCTTACCACTCTGATGGCAGAGATCCAGTAAAGAGGTCAAATCGAAGAATCCCTGTGTATAGTGAGGCCCGAAATGTGCACCTGTGTGTGGATGACATTGTGCTGTTCAGTGCATCAGCACTGAAACATTATAGAGCCTCCTGGACTGCTTTGTCATTTCCTTCTCCAGTTCATTCTACAGATGAGGAAACTGAGGCAAACAGGGTTAAGTGACTTGCCCAGGGTCACACAGCTAGTAAGTGCCTGAGACTGGATTTGAACTCAGGAAGATGAGTCTTCCTGACTCCAGGTCCAGCCCTCTATGCACTGCAGTCTAGTGCACCTAGCTGCCCCACATAAAGCAAACTCGTTGAAGGCAAGAACTCTTTTTGCTTTTTCTCTGTATCCCTGGGGCTTAGCACACTGCCTGACACATGGTAAGTGCTTACTAAATACTTGTCGATTGCTTGATTTTATAGGTGAGGAAAAATGAAGTTTAGAAAGGTCGTGACTAGAAGAATCATTTGTTAGTTAATTACAGAAATCCTTGAATATTAGGCTAAGGAGTTTTGACTTTATCCACTAGCTAATGAATAAGCATTTGAGCAAGGAATATGGCAGGATTATATCCATGCCACATGACATCTGTCATTATTTCTTTGACATAATCATATATCTGATATAATAAGCACTTAATAATAGCACTTAGCTGAAATGTACTGTGTACAAAGTAACAGCAATATGTCCGATGATCAGCTGTGAATGACTTATTATTCTCAGCAATACAATGATCTAAGTAAGACAACTCTGAAGGACTTATGATGGAAAATGCTATCAATCCCCAGAGAAAGAAGTGATGGTGTCAGAATACAGATTGAAGCATACTTATTTATTTTATTTTTCTTAAGGATTTTTTTGTCTAGGTTTTCTTTTACACGATTATTATTGAAGTGTTTTGCATGACTACACATGTATAACCTATATTGACTCGCTTGCTTTCTCAATGAGGGGTGGGGTTGGGAAGGGAGGAAGGGAGAGAATTTGGTACTCTAAGTTTTTAAAAACAAATGTTTTTAACATTTAACATTAACATGTAACATTAATCCATGATGTTAAATGTTAAAATTGTCTTTACCTGTAACTGGGGAAAAATAAAATAAAACTAAATTAAAAAAAAAACAAAAAAAAATAACAGCACTTAGTAATAGTACCATAACTGGGGAAGAAGGAGCAGGAAGGACAAAAGGTAGTCCCACAAGGGGGACAGTCATGCTAGAAGAAGGGGCCATCTCACTCACACCCCTGTATGGTTGAAGGGGGTGAGTAAGGCAGGGCTCAGAAGAGGTCCATCACGGTGATGTGAGAAGGTGGGAGCAGTTAACACTGCACTGAATGGTGAAATAGTGAACCAGAGGATCATAAGGTGAGTGGTGGTCATTGTGGGCAGGAAGTCCAGTGGTCAGCACTCTGGAACAGAGTTCTTTTGGTCTGATGTTATATACAGCTTTGATTAATAAATACTTAATGAATTGACTTGACTTGAATCGAGTTGCCAAACTCACGGCTAGAAAGGACTAACGCTGGGACTCAAATTCTTTGGACTAAATCCAGTGCTCTGGCTCAGAAAGGAAACATTCACAGTCAATTAAGATGTGATAAGAAAGTATCTGCCTCTAAGAGTTAGGAGGCATTTGAAACATCTGTGAGAGGCTCCTGGATGCATTACCACACAAACCTAGCAGTTTTTTAAAGCTTTTCTATTTCCTGTCAACCTCTCATTATCTCTACAATATTAACCTTAATTCTTTTTTTTTTCTTTTAACATAGAAGTAGGACAGGGCAGTGAAGAAAAGGGAGGAAGAAACCATTTGACTGATGGATGGCTTCCAGGCTTGCAAGGGAAGGGACAGAAAGATCTTTATAAAACTTCTTAAACTGTGGGTCACGAAAAATTTGGCAACAATAAAAGTTTTCTGACTACACATGACCAAAAATTAATTAAAAAGTAAACACGTAATGAATCCAAGGTGTTTCTGGCAGTGCTTGCCCATGTTGCATCAAGCAACTTCAGTGCAGCCTTGGTTCTGAACACAAAGCATGTGCACTAATGCCAATGAACCAAATAGCTGCCTAAACGAAAAGGGGTCACCAGGAGTGGAAAAAGTTAAGAAGCTCTGCTCTAGAACACGGGTGATTAGCATTTTTCCCCATTTTAAAGAAACAACCTTTCATAGGAAAACATTCCCATTCAAGAGTGTTCTGATCCCATCAGGAAGAACCACAAGCAATGAGTAAATGTTTTAGAAGGCGAATTTAAGCTTGGTGTTGGGGAAAATGCCCTACCAATTAGAGATGTCCCAGAGTGGAATGGGTTGCTTCAGGGGGTAGAGAGTTCCAGTACATAAAGAGTAAAGAATTCATGGGTTGGCCTAGCTGGTTATAGAGGTCCCTTCCACCTGAGATTCTGTGATTTTATGGTTCTTATTCATCATATAGACACAAAAAAAGAGAACAGAGCTTAATATGTAGAATTTGACTTAAAATTTTACTGGAAATGTACTTGTCTAAGATTTATTGTTCAACAAATATCTTTCTTAAGCACTTTTACTGTACAAGGCACTGTCCTGAGCACTCTGCCCAGGACTCATCCCCGTCCTCACGGACCTTCTTGTCCTGGAAAATGTAACTAGAGACTCAATGTCTATTTACATGAGGCTCTCCTCATTGGTGGGGATTGATTACTCAGTCTTCTGCTCATCATGGAGGTGTATAACATTGAGTAAGTAACATCTACCAACGAGTAGAGTAGAATGTTATTCAAATGGACTTTGAACTCCTGGTTATGGGTGAGATACTATATACAGAAAGAGTTAGTACACAAGGTAGTAATAATAAGTTTAAAGAATGTGAAAGAGCAATAGGAGAGGTGTGATTAGAACTTACCGAATGGGACCTGAGATGAGGAAAAGATTGAGGCACTTCCTGGTGTTGAGTCAGGGATGGCATTGGAGCCTTGTCTTAAAGAATGGCTCAGAACTAGATATGTAAGGTTGGAGGAGAAGCAAATTACAAATAGAGGAAGGAAAAGGAGCAAAGTGAAGGAACCCAAAGCATAGTAGGGGAAGAACAAATATTCTAGCTTGGCTGGAGTGATACACCTATCATTTTTTTCCATGATGGAGTTATAGCCTGGAATTGGCATTCCAAGAGAGGATGTGCAGTCATTTTCTCTAGTGATTTTTAAGGAGCACAGTACCCAGAGATTTAGCACTGGAAAGGACTTTCGAGATCATCTAGCCTAATGGTTCTCAAAGTCTTTGGCCTCAGGGACCCCTTCTCACTGTTAAAAATTATGGGAGTTTCCACAGAACTTTTGTTTGTGTGGGTTATATCTATCAATATTTGCCATACTTGAAGTTAAAACTAAAAATTTGAAAACATTTACTTATTAATTCATTTTCAAATAACAGTAATAAGCCAACTAACATAACTTTTTATTTAAAATAACTATATTTTCCAAATTAAAATAATTTAATGAGGAAAAGTGCTATTGTTTTACATATTTTTGCAAATATCTTTATTGTCTGGCTTAATAGTTAAGACAGCTGGATTTTCCTTTCAGCTTTTTCATTTAATCCATTGCAATGTATGTTTATAGACATATATATATATATACATATATATATATATATTTATATATTTAAAAGCCTCACAAGACATATAGTTAGAAAAGGAAAGAATATTTAGCAAGCAAATGACATCTTAGCATCATCATAAAAATAACTTTATGTTAGGTCTCAAGGATGCCTGGGGGTCTACAGACCACACTTCAAGAACCTCTCATCTGGCCCAACTGACTTATTTTATAGATGAGGAAAATGAAGCTCAGAATGGCTAGGTGATTTATCCAAGGCCACACAAGTACTACGTAGCCAATTTTCTGCCACATCCTACTGGCTATAGTAGACATGATAACAAAGACATCTTTTAAATTTTTTAATTTTGTTAAATATTTCTCAATTGCATGTAAAATTTTTTTTGACAACCATTTTTAAAAAACTGAGTTCCAAATTCTCTCTCTCTCTCCCATTCCTCCCTCCTCCTTGAGAAGACAAGCAATTTGACATCAATTATATGTGAAAAGTCATGCAAAATATATTTCGTATTACCCATGTTACAAAAGAAAACACACACAAAAAATAAAACAAGAAAAATAAAGAGTAAAAAAAGTATGCTTCAATCTGCACTCAGAGTTCATCAGTTCTGTCCCTGGAGGTGGATAGTGTGACAAATGAAAAATTCAGGAGACATAGTTTCTGGGTAATTAATCATTTTATTAATTATGGCCAGTGAATAATTAATAAAAAGATGATCATTTGGCTTTCTCTCATAAACCAAAGACATATCATGGAGGCCTCGACACATATACCATTGGAAGAGTAGGTGTTCCTGACAGATGACAATCAACTTTGACTGGTTAACAATTAATGAGAGAATGAGTATTATAATGAGAGGTGGACCTATTCTATTGAGGGGCCAGAGGATAAGAATCTTATTATGTCACTCTTACCCAGACACTCCTCCCCCTTGGGCAGTCTTGGCAAAGGGATCTACTTCCACCCAAGCTTGTTTTAATAGAACACAATAAGCTGGAATTTTACCTAGATTAGATTCTTTTTACTCTTTAATCAGAAGTAAGCTTCCCCAGTTGGGTGGGGTTTAGAACAAGTTCTAAAAGCATGTACCCTGAAGATCTGGGGAATCTCATCTATCAGCCACATCCTTCCCAGTGCTGGCTGAATAACATACAAGGGGCTGATTTCTGAATGAGGAAATTCTAAAGGGAAAATCTTAATCTCAACTAATAATTGGTTATTAATATAAGAGGGAAATAATTTCTCTCCATAGCATTTTTCATCATGGGTCCTTTGGAATTGTCTTGGATCATTGTCTTGATCAGAGTAGCTAAGTCTTTCACAGGTGATCTTTCTTACAATATTGCTATTACTATGTACAACGTTCTCTTGGTTCTGTTCACTTTGCACGAATTCATATAAGAAAGACATCTTTCGCTGGGAGCGCCTGCGTCCCCGGCTGTGGTCTGATGCCGGCAGAGTGTGAAGAGAGAAAGAAACACGGGCCAGGTGAGAGCAGTGAAGAACAAACTCTGTTTATTGATCTGAGGGCTCAGGCTTATATAGTACTGGATCAAGCAACAGTAATTTATTATTCATGAAAAGTACAAATCTTTTTTCTGTTTATCAAGGAGGATTTTAATATCCTTGTTGCACCTTTCAACAATGACTTGTCCAGTAGGATTGTCCAGGATGCCAGTAGAGTGAGTGATATTATAGGTGAGACAAAATTGTGCAAAATTCCTGCTAGTATAGGCGGGACCATTGTCAGTCTTGAGGTGTTTTGGATTGCCAAGAATTTTAAAGCAAAACAAGAAATGATATTGCTTATGTCCTTCTTAAAAAATGTAACTAATCCAAAATATCTGCTTGTCATCATATGATATTCATCTTTCCCCCACTTTTTTTTGCATATACTCTGACACATACAGTGTAATTACACTTAAAAAAACATGAATCACACGTTGATATGAAATAAAGGAATTTTAGAATAAGACTCCCCCTAACATTGTGTAATTGTTCAGTAGAAAAATAGCCAACTAAATATGATTAAGTAGTTTTTAGAACAGCATAAATTTAAGTAGCTAAGAAATCAGGTATGTATAGAAATGTGTTTAAGGTTATGCTTCTTGGCAGAAAACACAGAAATAACTAAGTTTCCTATCTGTAGTTAAAAAAAGATTCCCTAATCGTTTAATTAATAAAAATTATTTTCAACTCTGAAATGTTGTTTTAACTACTGACCAGGCTATGACAAATTTATGCTGGATTTTCCAATACAAGAGGGGAGTTAGGCAGTAGAACTCTGCAGCAAAGCAAAAGAATTTCTTTAGTTATCTACTGAATTCAAGACGGTTTTGTTGGGCAAGGGTAAAAATCTATTTCTAAATATTCAAAGACAAATAAATGTCCCCTTTCCCACTTCACTTGTTTAATTTGCTTGCAAATCCTTCCAAAGAACCACCAGGACAAATGAAAGCCTAAAAATATTGCTATTAATATTCTAACAAAGTCAGAATGAATAATTTTTTAAATCAAAAAGTTCTATCAAAGATATGTTAAAAAGGACTTATGAAGTTATAGCCTTTTATATACTGTAAAATATATTAAGATTTTAGCTATATTATAACTAGTACTAAGGAGCTGATTCAGAAAATTTACAAGCTACATCTTACTGGAAATTTTAGTATACATACAGTGCATTAGACTGTGTTTAACATACAAACTGCTCATGTCAAATTTCTAAAGCAGAGAGTTTATTTGCTCCTACCCTTGAAGTTTCCTCCCCACCTGATTAAGAAAACAAGTTGTGATTTGTTTTCTAATTATTGATATAACTTAGCTTCTTAAATAATTTTCCTCTTTTTTGAATTCCAATGTAATTTTTAAGTTACCTAAATGGTGGTTGTAGATAAAATGATACAAGCTTTATTTTTCTAGAATTACCATAAGATAGAACTCTTGATTTACAAACTGATCTGAAATGAATGGAAGGTTGCAAAGGACATGTATCTACAAAAGCTATAAAATTAAGTATGCTATTTTAGCTCTAACTTCAATAAAACTTTTTTTTATATGTATATAAGGCAAATGTCCCATTTTCTTTGATTATTAAAAAGGATCTAAAATGAAATCCCCTTAACCACTGATTTTGGTTAGTCTGCTCATCTGCCATATCACATTTACCTTTGTTTTTTAAAAATACTGTTTGGAAATGTGATGGCTGACAAAAAATGTTAATATACAATTTTCTTTGAGACTCTTGAAAACCACAAAAATTTCCAATATCATAATGACTACAAATTCTAACATTTAATGTGAAGTCATCATAACTCTTTGCATGCCACAACGACACACACCTAAGGCCAACTTTTTCAGAATGTACTATAACTTGAATAAAATCAAATAGGGAGACATATATAAAATGGGAAATACAATGTAGCTTCACATCACAGCTCCTGCTTGTCCATAAGACATTATGGAGGGAGTAATAATTTCACTTACACACTGACTTTAAATGTGATCAGCTGCCAATGTCCTGAATATTTATGACATGGGTCTTTTTAACAAGAACAGGACAGCAGCATGGTAACCACTTTTCTAAGTATATTTTCTATACAAAATAATTCCAAGATATAATCATTAAGTTCTCATATAGTACTATTATTTTAAACAATAATCAATAAAATACCAAATATGTGAAAATTGCAACACCACTAAGACTGAGCACTGCCATTTCCTAGTGTAATCAAAGTTGGTATTAGTACAGTCTTGGCAATGCAATGGTTGGACAGTACAGGTATCTTATGCAGAGATTTCAGTAGCAGAATGGCACTTGGTTTGTTCTCAATAGAAATGGCAAAGATGCAGTCGACAATTTAAAGAAAGACAATGTTCTTATTTGCGTGCTAAAATTCTAGTTGTGTCCCCTGCATTTGAACACTCTCAAATAATATTGTCCGTCTCTCTGTTCTGCCCACGAGCTCTGCCCCATATTAGCTAACTATCTTATAGGACACTACTGAGCTGGTGCGGCTTACTTTCCCTTTAAATCAGAGAAGCCAAAAAGCGGCAGTCTCCTTCTAAAGTTTACTTTCGCTTTTGGAGACACTGAAAAGCCGCAGTGTCCTTTGTTTGCCTTTGTGGTTTGCTTTCCTGCCTGTGCAGTTTGCTTTTACTTTAAATCTGAGACCCCGAAAAGTGGAAGTCTTGTTCTGAAGTTCACTTTCACTTTAAGAGACCCAGATAAGTGGCAGTCTCGTTCTGATGTTCACTTTAAGAGACCCCGATAAGAGGCAGTCTAGTTTCTTTTTAATCCCCATTTAACCTGGTGAAAATAAAAAACTATATAGGAAAATTATCGCCCTACCTTGTTAGCATCTTCTCTTGACGACCGGAGCTCCTTTTCTAGGGCTGTTGGCCATACAGCCCACCTTGTCCAGGGCCACTCTGCCGGGGGAAGCCTTCCTTTCAGGTCCCTGTTCGGGCGCCAAATGCCGGGAGCGCCTGGGTCCCCGGCTGTGGTCTGATGCCAGCAGAGTGTGAAGAGAGAAAGAAACACGGGCCAGGTGAGAGCAGTGAAGAGGAAACTCTGTTTATTGATCTGAGGGCTCAGGCTTATATAGCACTGGATCAAGCAACAGTAACATTATTATTCATGAAAAGTACAAATCTAATTAAGTGATTTCCTTACTTCCTTGCACCTTGTCTGTTACATTCTTTCCTGCGTCCTGTCCTGTAGCCCATCCGTTTCCTCCCTTCCTGCATCCTGTTCTCAAGAGACGGAACAGGGGGGTGGCGAGCCGACATCCTGAGTTTCACAGCTGTCGGGCTTAGTACAAACTGCAGGTAAGACCCGGGCTTGCCTAAGCCCTCCAACTCCCCAAAGCCGGCCCTCTACAATCTTTTTTCCCTTTTATATTTTATTTTTCCTAATTTTATGTAAAAACAATTTTTAACATTCATTTTTAAAAACATTTTGAGTTCCAAATTCTCTCCCTCCTTCTCTCCTCCTCCTCCCCTCCCTCCTCCCCACCCCCATTGAGAAGGTAAGCAATTTGATATAGGCTATACATGTGCAGTCATGTGAAAGATATTTCCATATTGGTTATGTTATAAAAGAAAAGACAGACCAAAAAAACAATACAAGAAAAATAAAGAAAGTGAAAAAAAGTTTGCTTTGGTCTGCATTCAGACTCTATCAGCTCTTTCTCTGGAAGTAGATAGCATTTTTGAAAGATATCTTTTTAAATGCAAAAATTTAGGTACTATCCTACGCAAGGTCAAAGGACATACCAGGTGATTTAACAAGGATTTACTGAACAGCTTATTACACGCCCAGTCTTGTTTAGGCACTTGGCAGGGAGTGGCATATAAAAGGGGGGAATACAAAAAAAGTACAGGCAAGGTCCTTACCCTCAAGGACCTTACAATCTAGTTTGGGAGAGACAACCTACACATGTGGGAAAGTTAAGTAAAAATGCAAGCTGGCGTATGATTAAATGTCAAAATGAGTGTTAGAGATCCTGTTGTGTCATCTTTAATGAAAAGTTTTAATTTACCAGTATGAAATTTTAAAAATAATTCTTCTTCCAACTCTGATAACCCTAACTAGGAAGTTTTAGTTTTTTTCTCCCTTTTGGCATCATTAATGTTATATCTTTTTGGAACACTTTGCTCCTAGCAAAGCATAAATAGGTGGCATTGGATTCCATTTGCGCTATATTCTTGATGATTTGTAATTATATGCTGTCACTTACCTTACTATTCTATGCAACTTTATAGCATTTAAACATACATTACCAAAAAAAACCCCCAAAACATACATTACCATTTTACTTCTTATTCAAACTAAATGTAACACTTGATGCAGTCTTAGGAAAACGTCTAAGAATAAACAAACAAATAAATGAACAAATGAATGAATAAATAAATTAATTAAATATGCTTAAAATATAATTCTACTTGGAGGAAATTAAAGAGAAAAAATACTTTTCGAGAAGAATTTTAAGGTGGTTTATTGTATTTTGTCTGAGGAGTATGTCTGTGCTATGTTGGTGGTTTACTACAATAGTACTCTATGATACCATGTTGTTTATGTTAGCATTATGGTGCTCACTTTTCCCTATACACCACCTCAGGTCTGAAACAATCACTTATTCAAAAGTATGTCTCATGAGCCCCTACTGCTGTGTTTATTTTTCTCAGATGTCCAGAAAACACATTAGTACAAAAGACATTTAATTGAGTAGCATAGTAATCCCAATAACGAGAAAAGATTGCCTGCCACCTGTGTACACAGGAGATATTATGGCACTGCTAGTGGGGTAGGGCACACATGCATAGAATATGTGTGGCCATGGAACATGTATTGAGGACATGCATAAAGGATACTTGTGGCTAGGGAACATAAAGGAAGAGATACATTCCAGGCCCATGTAACTTGGAAATATTTAAGAAGGTTATACTTTAGGACACACACGTGGCCAGGTAAACTCATATCTCTGAGGTTGCTGGACTGCTGATATTTTCTGGTCGTGTCATTATATTCATCATAAGGGCAGCTAGGTAATACAGTGGATAGAGTGCTGGACCTGCAGTCAGGAAGACTCACCTTCCTGAGTTCAAATCAGGCCTTAGACACTTACTAACTGTATGGCCCTGAGCAAGTCAATTAAGCCTGTTTGCCATGGTTTCCTCATCTGTGAAAAATGAGCTGGAGAAGGAAATGGCTAATCACACCAGTATCTTTGCGAGAAAAGCTCATGTGGGGTCACAAAGAGTCAGACACAACTGAACAACAACAATAACAAAAATCTTACAAAGTTGCATAACCTCTGTTCGCTTCAATTTCCTTCTCTGCAAAATGGGAATAATAATAGCATCATTCTCCCAGAATTGTTGTGAGGATCACATGACAATAAAACATGGTGCCTAGCCCATAGTATGCACTATGTAAATGTTGTTGTTGTTATCTACTGCCTCTCTGCTCTCCACTAGACCCATTGTCTCTGCTGAGTATTGTTCAATTGGTCTCATGGTTTTCTTCTGAATGTCAAGGGCTGCTAGGTTTAATTTATTCACAGTCACCTGCTGGCTATCTCAGCTTGCATATGCCATAGTACAATGTTGGATGGTGATTTTTTAAATCCATGTTGCAACCTTCTGAGGTAATGTGACATAGCAGATAGATAGCTGGCCTCAAGGCCAGAAAGGCCTTCATTCAAATACTACCTCTGACACATACTGGCCATGTGAACCTGGGTAAGTCCCTTAACCATTTAGTGCTCTAGGCAACTCTCTAAGACCACACATTGCAAAGCAGGTATGACTTGCATTGTCAGAGTTATTCCTTATTTGAGAGTTTCCTAAATCAATGAAATCAAGGGTCTGTTGTCTGTCTTTCCTTTTATTGCCATACAAACTAGAGCAAGTTGCTGTTTACATTAAAAGCTATAATTGCTAAGTTTGATTTTTCCCTCCACTAAATCTTGTTTTGTTAATTATCTTATCAACTCTAGGACAATCTGCCATATTTCCTGGGTATATCCTCCCCTCTTCCCCAAGTCTCTATTTTTATTGAGGTAAGAGTTTCAAAGCCTTGAAGACTTAGCTCCAATTACCGACAGGAATGTGATTTAGGGATTACCTACTCCATCCTCTTCCTCCCACCTGCCAGTTCTCTAGGTTGGCCTTTTTCTATGATTTATTTGGGGAGTTCTCAGCCCAGACATCTAAGATCCTCTAGAAGAGTAATTCTTCCCTCCTAGGTCCCTTTGAGTGGAGGTCAATAAATCAAGAGTCAAGGCTAGATAAAAAAATTTAATTGGCATCAGCTAATGGGCAGTTGCCAAGTTGGTAAAAATTCTCCAGAATAGGACACATACATGTATATGTATGTTTTACACAGCTTTAGAGCAAGTGGCAAAAGGGGCATATCAGGTGAGACTGCTTAGCCACTTTCTTTATTTTGGCCATTAGGTGGGACAAGTTGTCAGATGATTTGGGGGGGCTGGGGATAATGTCTTCATTTTTGCGTAACTTTGATGTTGCCTAAGATCAGGCCTGTTCTGGTAGAAATGTTTCCCTGTAGTTAATCTGATCAGACCATCTTGGTAGGAATATATTGGTGGGAACCAAGTGGAGACCTCCATTTTTGAGACAGAATCAGCACAACTCTGCAGGCTCCATTTTTTTTTTAACCTCTAAAGTTACTATTTCAGGGAATATGTCTCCCCTAAACTCAAAGTACACAGGTTTTGTATAGTTCCTCCACACCTCCCACCCTCCAAGTATTAACATTCATTGTCTTCATGTATTCTTTGTTAGAAGCTTTTTTTAAAGTTCATTTCCTCCTGAGGGTTTTTATTTTGTTTTGTTTGTTCTTTTTCTTTGTTTCACCTCATTTGGCACATTACCATTTCTGAGGTGATCTAAGTGAGCTAGGCTTATTCACAACTACTCATTCTTCCATTTAGCTAGAAGCCTACCTCTGTTTTAAAAGCACTGAATGAAGGTTTATATCAAGATACAAATTTTATGTATGGCAGGATGAATGATTTTTTAATGAATTTTCTCAGTGATCCTGGTCTCATGTGACCTTGGGCAAGTCACTTCCTTTCTCTTGGCTTTAGCTTCCTCATCTTGTTGAACTAATTAGTTTTTGAGGTCCCTTCTATCTCTGCGACTCCATAAACCTCAAGTCTTCCCTTCCCATGAAGAGTGGGTGTCAGGTGGATATCCGGGTGGATGACGTGGCTTTACTGAAAGAAGAGTGAAGACAATTGACCCCATACCCTGAACCTCTGGGGTAGCACAGATGAGAGCCCTTTAACTAGTCAGGCAATAAACATTTATTAGGCACCTGCTGTGTGCCAGGTGTTGTGCTAAGTTACTCAGAAAGGAGGAGGGAGTCAGAAAATAAGCACCACCAACTCCTACCTGATCCTGTTCCCTACTGGGTATTTCCAAAACAGAACAAATTTTTTTTCTTTTTTTGAAGTAAACAGGTCTGAGCTCTTCAGCTTTCCTCAGATGCTATTTTACAACCATTGTTAGAAATTCTTGCGTGTTTAAAGCAACACACACCTGTTTTTTCTTTTCACTCTCCTTCTTCACGAATGGCCTTAGTTTCAGCTGAGTTCTATGATAATAAAAATTCACTTATCCATTATGGTTCAGCTGGTGCCCTAACACAGTTCTGTTCTCTTGTCTTCTGTCCCTAGCACCTACCACAGTGCCTGGCACATTAGCAAACATTTAAGTAGTGCTTGTTGAATTAAACAATTTGAAATGAATCTTTCACTTTAGTTATCTCTGACATATAACACTTCTTCTGAGCTACCATTTCCCCCAACTTGTATTAGCAAATTGGGTTCCCTGAGGGGTAACTACCAGGGGTTCAAGGTAATCTGTGAATTGTGAATTCATGAGCCCCAGCTGATGAGGTGATGGGACTTGGACCCCTAAAAGGAAAAGGTTGTCTTTGAAAGCAACCCAGTCCCTGAATTATTCCATGCATTTCAACAGCCTAGATCACTGGCATCTCACCCAAGGCATCTGACCGACTCCCAGCCCACCTAGATCACTTAATTAGCTTACTTGACAATCCTTTCACAGTCCTCTTGACCCAACCCAGACTACTTTCACTCTTTTCACTATTGCACCTGCCCCCTCACACCCACTACTTTATTCCTTTCACCATTACACCTGCCCACCCTAGACTATTTTATTCCTTTCACTATTGCACCTGGCCCACCCCAGAGTACTTACTACTCCTTAATCCCATCCAAATCTTCTTACAGTCTTTTTTTTTTTGTATAAAAAAGTATCAATCTCAAACTCCCCTG